TATTTATACATATACATAGTTCATACCTCCTATCCACACCCAAAACAACACCCATTTTCTAGAATGTTTCACTAACCTATTGTACATAATCTCTTCAAGGTAGGAGTTGTATCTAGTCTGGCCATATGCGGTTTAAAGCAAAACTTTCACCATCAACATTTAATATGAAATATAATTCTTTACAATTATTTTTAATTACCTTCCATAATATATCCTACAAAATTAATTTCTAAAAACCCAATCCAGCCGTTCGTCTTCGGTCAACAATCCATGTGGTTTCTTTCCTGTCATAGATTGTATCACCATTTTGTCTTTTTCCTTCCTTTCATGGAGCATATCGCCAAAAACTATAAAAAAGATGAAGGAGAAACAAAATCACCAAAGACCGCTACTGCTATCGTACCACCACCAAGTCTACATCCATGATTATGGCCTTGAACTCAAATTTCCGTGGTTATCTGAAGATCTTTGAGTGCCTGTGAGAAAATGGCTGGGCCTTTTCTCATGATAGCCGGAGGTTCGTATCTAACTCCTCCTCTCTTCTAACCCATGGCCTTGATCATGAAAATCTAAAGTTCTATGTTATTGAGTCTACTAACTTGATTGGTGCTTCATAAGGCATTGCAAGTTACAACAGGTCTTTATAAGAAATTGCCTTATAATATTACAAGAAATTAAGAATCTTGCTTCGTTCCTAGAGGATAACTAATCTTTGAGGAATCCTCCAAGATTAATTATCCTCCAAGGACGAAGCAAGATTGTTAATATCTTCATAATATTCTATGGTAGTTTCTGATAAAGATCCACCCTAACTTGCTATACGTCATAAAGTATCAAGTAGGTTAACAATCCTCAAGATTGTAGAGGTTTAGATTTCCATGACATAGGCCATGATTGTGAAGAGGATAGGATTTAGAAATGAATGTGTGGCTATCATAAGAAAGACCCGACCATTATCCTATTGGCACCTAAAGGTCTTTAGATAACCATGAAAATTTAGTTTCGATGCCATAATCCCAGATGTGGACTGGCAGGGGCGTGGTAGCAACAATAGTTTTTTGCGATCTTTTTTTAGGAGTTTCAACAAACTTTTGAAAAAGTCAACTTAATATAGCAAATTTTTATAAATGGAAATTGCCACAAGGTAACTCACTATCATCCCTCTCTCTAGATCTTTACAAACCCTAGATCTAATCTAATCCAATCTCTTTTGTCTCCAATTGCAGGAACCAGAGGTTCTTCATGTCAATTCAAAGAGGATTAGGAGGCAGATGCCAACAGTCATGGTCAGAAACATGGAGCTTTCACTTGTGCTTCTGATGCCTTCATTCGATCAAGAGCAGCTCACTGACTTTGACAAGCACTTAGAATCTCGTCAAGGATTCGTAAGTTTCTTTTGTTATGATAGGGGGTCAAGAGGTGATCTTTTTAGTAGATGTAGATCACTGAGATCCTGAATCTGACGATGGCTTGCACCGAGTACAACATAGCAAATTTTAGAGGACAAGAAGTTGAATCAGATGTTGTTTGCAAATCATGGTACTTTTTTTAACTTCCCTAGAGATACCACAGCTAACGAAGACGTGAGTGATTTGATTCGAGTTGTCAGTATCCAACCTCGAGCAAGAGAGTAACCGTCATGCTTCTTGAGGTGGTGTAGAGCCATTTAGGTTCAACCTCGTCTCCTTGTCTGATACATGACATAACGGTCGCTTTTGGGGGATGAAACATTATAACAACATTGGTGACAAAGCTTCAATATTATCTTGTGTTTCCTTCATGTGTCTGTATTTTGTGATAATGAATTTAAAAAACTCATCATAAATTGACATAACAAGTATAACATATAAATATGATTAATGACATTTTCTCGTCGATAGGAAAAACCAAATAAAGGCAAATAAACGGGACCTCATAAATGCTCAGATTTTTCTAAGAAGAAATTGAAGAATTGTTTCAAAGAAGTAACTAAAATTTTCTCAATTCTCAATTTGAAGATAAATGCAGTTCGCCTACAATAATGAAAAACATTTCCTTGTCGATTTCATAAAAGAAAGTGAAATATTAAAAATAATTCAAATTGAGGTGCTCTATGTGATAGAAGGCGCATGAGGAACAATTGAGGTGTGGCTTGTGGCTTCTTCTGTGGATAAAATATAAGAGCTAATAAAAAAAATAAGAGCAGAAGATAAGACAAAAAATAGTTAGTGAAGAGATTCTCAGTAGGTAGGTGAAAAACAAAAGTGCTAGTTAATAAGTCATTCATTACATAGACAAATAAGAATAATCTTAACTTATCTGATTAGTTATCGTAATAGACATTTTTAAAAAAAAACTATATTCCTAGTATTTTGATAGAATTTTACGTAAGTATTAAAAGATATTTATGAAAATTGTAACAAAAATGATTAATTTAAGGAAAAAATCGGAGCATCCATCAATTATAACTAAACAAATGGAGAGCGATTAGTTGCAGATATTAATTGATAGGTTATAGCTAAATGGACACACACACAGAGGGAGAGAGAAGTTTGAATCTGTTTTATTGGGGAAAAAATCTTTTTCTATGGAAATTTTTTTAGGCTAAATTTTTTAAGGTGAAGTTAAGAAAATTGTTTTAGGTGAAACTTTCTTTAGGTGGGATAGATAGGAGGTAAATGATTGCGACATGACTAGTTCAGTTGCAGATGTATTAGTAGTACAATATAGATAGATTACGCTTCGTTTCTAATAATACATCTTTAGTGTAATAATGATTATCTATCTTCTTGGTGTTTCTCTCTTCCCATAAGGGCATGTTGTAGAAGCGACGAAGACGACGATGAAGTTCAGGAAAAACGAAGCTGACAGGCACTTGGGTACTGTCCAATCGACCGTGGGGCTTAGCCCGGTCGACTGGAAACGTGCACATTACAAGGTGGTTTTCTAGAGTTCTGGTCGGTCAACCGCGAGGCTAGGTCCGGTCGACCGCGTACCCTGTAATTGGTTTCCTGAGTTTCAGACGTTCAGTCCGGTCGGTCGCAGTGTTATGTGCGATCGACCTCCTGTCGGGTTTGGGCTTGGGCTTCGTTTCCTGTTCTGATTTGGTTTGTGTTTTGATATATATTGAAACATATTTTTTAGGGTTTTCTTAGGGAAAATTGAAGAGACTTTTGAGCTGTGTATTTGGGTGATTTGGTGAGAGATTTGAGAGATTTGTTAGAGAGATTAATTTGTGAGTTTTGAGTGAATTTGTAATCTCTATTTGTACTCTCTCTCTAATAGCAAAATACATCCCCTCCTTGCCCCGTGGACGTAGACACATTGCTGAACCACATAAAATTAGTGTCTCGCATTGTTGAGTTCTTGTTTTACCTATCGGTTGTGATTCTATCTTAGTTTGGTTGTGTTTCTTCGATTCCGCTGCGCACAACACATGTTTGGTAAGTGGAAAGTAAACAAAAAGAGTTTGGTTGTGTTTCTTCGATTCCGCTGCGCACAACACATGTTTGGTAAGTGGAAAGTAAACAAAAAGCGATAAAAATAAAAAGTATCGATTCCGCTGCGCACAACACATGTTTGGTAAGTGGAAAGTAAACAAAAAGCGATAAAAATAAAAAGTATTTCACATGAAGGTACGTTCTTATTACTTTCTATTTTGTAAAATCTTTTTTGGATGTTCGAAAGTAAAAGGAGAGAAAGTTGATGTGGAAAATAATGTGATACTTACTTTCTTCTTGTTTTGTTTGATAATCACAAAAAATAATAGTAGAAAGTGGGCAAGTAAAACTAAAATGACAAAAAATTTATTTTATCTCTCCTTTTCATTCACTTTCTATCCACTTTCTTAAATTTTTGGAGAAAGTGGAATGAGCTAAAATGCTGGTATGACACTTTTTACTATACAATCACCTTTTATTCACTTGCCAAATGCCAAATGAGATAAAAATGAAAAATGGAGACACTTTTTAATTTTTGATCCACTTTCCATTTATTCCCCAATCGCCAAACACGTCTTAAATGTCTTAAATGCTATATATTACTGAAATTAATTCTCCATTTTGCTCATATTTATTTACGTGTTTGAATCTAATTTACACATAATAAAAAATCTTTAAATAAATATATGGGTAATTATTTATGATTAATCCTCTGATAAATTACTGCATGTAGATATATTACAAGAAAATAAAATTTTTATTAAATTATACTTACCTTAAAATTAATAATGCATTAAATCGCTTCTTATTAATTGACAACACTACCACATATTTGCTCTAACGTAACGGTTCAAAACCGTTGCGTTAGCCATGGAACCGTCGCCCTTGAGCAAGTGCGACGGTTCTCAAATCGCCTCATATACTGCCGTTGCCCTACCTCTACCGTAATGGTTTTGAACTCTATTGCGACGGTTTTTTGAACCGTTGCCCCTGCATCTAACGCAACCGTTTTAAAAGGTAAGCGGTTTTTAAGCCATTGCAACGGTTTTGATTGAGCTATTGCGACGGTTTTTAAGCTATTGCAGCGGTTTTGATTGAGCTATTGCGACGGTTTTCAAGCTACTGCAGCGGTTTTTTTAGATATTACAACGGTTTTAAAAGACCTAACGCAACGGTTTTAGTAGGCTAAAGCTATGGTTTTGATAGAGCTACGGCAACAGTTGGAGCTATTGCAATAGTTTTAAAAGACCTAACGCAACGGTTTTAGTAGGCTATAAGTATGGTTTTGATAAAACTACGGCGACAGTTGGAGCTATTGCAACAGTTTTAAAAGACCTAACGCAACAGTTTGGATCAAGCTATCGCAGCGGTTTGGATCGAGCTATCACAACGGTTTTAATCGAGCTATTGCAACTACTCAATCGAAGCTGTTCTTGGTTTCCTACGTCAAAATAATTATAGTATTCAATTACCTGGACAATCTTTTTAAGAACATGGCCAAGTCAAATTTTAATACACAATATAAAAGTGATTATGTTGAGCATAATCAACCATAATGATAAGTACCAACATACATCAGTATAGTATAAAAACTACAAAGTATTAAATCCACACTACCAACATTTCAACTCAGAAAATATCGTACCGAACTAACATTCAAACAATGTACATCAACATTTGATTACAAAACATGAAACTTCTGAAATTGGAAGGCGATATGTTGGCCTGCCAGATGATTAAAAGTCTCCCTCCTGACATTGGACACAAAAGTAAGTATAAATAAGTACTATAGAGAAGAGGAAGTGCACGACATGGGAACATTTCTGAAAAATAAATACCTGGTGATATCATAGACTAATAGTGCGCCTGCAGCTCCTCTGTAATAGGATCTTGTAATGGATCTGAAGGATTCTTGGCCTGCCTATAATGATAGAAACTTCAAGTCAGATGCATATAATAGTTACGAACATATAATAGCTAGAGATAAACCAATGATAGAAGCAGATAAACATTTACATGTATATACCGAATCAGACCCTATCGTGATGTGCACTCAACATATGTGCCCGATACGAGTACACTGGCACTTGAAAACTAACTATAAAGAGTATTGGAGGGTTAAAGTGACAATCACCAACTTCAACTTAGTTCAGAACTATAGTGATTGGAATTTGGTGATACAACATCCAAACCTGAAGAGCTTAGCGTAGGTTTTCAGCTTTAACTACAAGCCTCTGATCGAGTATGGCAATATCAGTGAGTGCTCATTTTTTTCTCATGCTTTTAAGTTCCAAATACTAAGATCATTATTTTTTTCTGGCTGAGTTGTTCATTGCTAAAATGTATTGAAAGAAAAGAATCGATAGATATTTGGTGTTACCTTAGACATTTAGAAAAGTCTGTCCCAATTTCACTTCACATGTAAATTAATTTTGATTTTTCTTTGGATTAAATGAGTCATGTAGACTTCAGAGAATATGACAGCTTTCTCTTAAAGACTACAATACAATACATTTTTTTATGACAATTGTGCTAATCAAAATAACTGTCGACATTTAATAGTTCAAACTCTAAAACTCATCTAATTGCTTATTCTTTTTGAACTTCATGCGTAATTGACAAGCCTTTTGTACACGTGCGCACATTTGTTTTTTGTTGCAGTGCATTTCATGTACAGGACATGTCTAATGATAATTCATCTAATATGACATTCATCAAGTCATGGCTGATATTTGCATTATTGTTTCGATACTGTAAAATCAAATTACGAAACCGTCTTGCTACATGTCCGAAGTTGTAATCAGTAAGAATAAATTTTAATAGCCATTTCTTTCTTTGTATATTGGGATGGTTATCAGAGATGAAATAAGACCAAGCAGTTTCTGGGATCACATTTTTCTGATGACATATAATAAAGACTATAGTTGATATATGACTGGGACCAAGCAGTTTCTGGGATCACATTTTTCTGATGACATATAATAAAGACTATAGTTGATATATGACTGTGTATAATGATACTTATCAAGCTATATATGTATAGTTGATATATGACTGTGTATAATGATACTTATCAAGCTATATATGTTTAGCCTGATTTAAGCACTATGTACTACTTGGCTTACATTATTTATATAGAAATATTCAGAACAACGAACATGCTAAAGGAGAAAAAGATTACCATTGCATTTTGAGAATGCCAAATCTTTAGTAAAGCCCTAAATGACGATGATGATCGCCCGTCCCCGAAGACGCACACGTCCAGGATGTTCTTTTTTATTGACAAGATGCCATGCATCTATATTTTCTCCTTCAGTTTGTTCCTGAGTTAGCTCCTGAGTTAGTTGTTCCAATGTACCACTCATGTCAAGTGTTTTTTCTGGTTGCGCTTTTTTCTTCTTTTTACGAGTCTCTATAAACACTTCTGCATCTGTTGGAGGCCGGTTCAATTCCTTTTCCTACAACAAAACAACACATCAATCATTTAGCCATTCATTGCATGTCTAAATCATTTAGCTATTATTAATACATAATTACACTGTAAATCATATATAAATCTGAAACAACAGCCCAAGTATGATTAAGAAACCATTCAAAGCCTAACTGTAACATTTAGGGCTTGTAAAAAGAATCATCTCAAAATTAAACAAAGAAGTAAGACTCATAAAATGAAATCTTTATGGGATTTCCCTCAAGATAAAACAGTTAAACAGGACCCTCTTATTGTGAACATTTTAGCCGTTCATTGCAGAACAAGAAAAAAATCCACAGAATATCAAGAAATATTTATTGAAACAAATCGAATCGCATCAAGGAAAGAAAACTCATACCTCATATTGGCTCCGACTGAGACTGAAAGCAACCCAAGGTTCATTAACAATTATTGGAGAACCAGGGGAAGTTGGACCATCAATAAAAGTATTATTATTGTTATTGTACTGACCCCTTATGGATGAATCGAATGATCCGGTAATTGGTGCATCTCTGAACATATCTGAAATGGGGTAACTGGCACATGTAATTTGAACGTATATGCTCATGACCTACAAAATAATAATTCATTAAATTGCTTCAGATCTTATATATGAAGAATTATCTATTTGTCCACTTAGCAGATGTAAAGTTTATCATGATTTTGTTGCCAACAAATTAAAGCAACATATTAAATTATCAGGATATTATATTATGTAAAGTTTATCATGATTTTGTCCACTTAGCAGGTTGTACCACTGTCCTAATGTCGATTTTATGGAATCCAAGACCCAAAAAGACAGCACCTTAAGATTAAGAGCCTCAAGTATGATTAAGAAACCTAGTGAGGGAGGTCTACCCTTAGATTCAAATTTTTTTTTACAAGAAAGTGTCGAGCGTATATAAGATCACATGAGTTTGTCTTTATTAACCAGGATATTATATTATGTGCACTTGATGTATTTGAACTATACGTATATTTGGATAATTCAGAAGGTCTGTTGGATATTTTTATCATACTGTAACTATATTCATATTTTAGATGAATATCGGATATCAACATGTACATTCAATTCAACAAATCTGACATGAAGCATATTATCCATTTCAACCCTTAATTGCAACCATGCATGGAAGTGCATGGACATGTAACATGGTGAGATGGTGTCCCATTACCTCTTTCTGCTTTGGGCAATTCAGAACCAAACCAGCGAATGTATTTGCTATTGGTCATGAATCTATCTTTAAAAATAGTACCCCTAACTATATGTATATTCACATCTTTACCCATTAAATTATAAACAAGAATAATATTCTCAAGAAAACAATAGTACATATTTACCTAAATTTTGATATTTCAGAGGCTTTTTATTTAATTTTGTTTATGCATTATCAGGGAAAATGCTACATGTTCCTTCATTTAATCAGATCCCATTTCTGCTACTGAAGCCTATCCAATGTCAATTATGCATGCTATCCAAACAGCGAGGAAGCTTGGATTTGCACTAAGTGGGAAATATAAGCAAGTTGAAAGGAAAAATCAATGCAATTATGCGACCAAATGATAGAAATATGCCTCAGATATCATTTAAAAAACAGATAAGTTTCATGTACAGTTCCAGCTACCAAACACATTATTTTCACTACTTACCAGATTTATGAGTTATTGTATGCAAAAAATTGCATTACAAATAGCAGTTGCAATAGCACAAAATAGTTGCAAGTACTCTAACTGTAACATTTTTACAATTGTGATTGCAGAAAGAAGTCATTTTTCCAAATAAAAAATCCAACTAGATTAATTGCAAGCTATTTTTGGAGAAAAAAAATGTCTTACTTCTAACTCTTGTTGTGAAAATATTGTAATCACATTAATAGATAGCTGTAACTGGAAATAGAACTATCTATTGCAAAAGGCAGTTTCAATTGCAATTTTTTATGAAGCACAGAGCTCAGTATTGAGATCTTAAATGCAAAGCATAACATCCTAGAGTTTCAAAGATAAATTTCGAGGACAACAATAATATCATGAAAATGACCTAGAAACAACACTTAAGACATAGATGCATTTGCTTATCAAAAAAAGTTTAATTGTAGAACTTTGAGACCAACAATGCAAAATCAAATATAGTACCAAACAAAGTTTCCATCAGTTCAGTGGTTGTAGGTCTGAACAGCAAAATACACGGGGGTGTGAGATCAAGTTTCAGTTTAAGGTTATATATCATGACTTTCTCATTTTATCAAACTAGGTCTACACTGTTGAGCCAAATTTGTTTCGACTAAAATCGGTTTAATTAATTAGTTTACCAAACATACCCTTAGTCCCGCATTAAAGTTTCATAATGGATATTTTGCTCTTTAGTCAATGTGGCTTTGTCATAGGCGCATATGATGGCGTGCAGTTGTCATCAAGCTAACAATCTTTTGACAGTGTTTGGCAACCATAAGGTCCATAACCAAGTTAAGCGGAACAATAATAACCCTTCTCCAAGTAAACAATATATCCTTCTTTTATATGTTGTTTCTGATAGCCACACAAGGGGGTAGTAAATGAAGAAACTGCACCCCCCCCCTAAATTAAATTCATCTATAATATGAAAAAGTAATTGAAGCATGTCCACAATTTGCTCAAATGTGACGCCCCCGGGTTCACACGAGGCTGCAGTCCTCGGTGAAACCAAGAATGTCAAACCTGCTATGCACCACACCGTGCAATAACATATTTCACCATCACAATTAACATATCTCTAGTAGAGTCAACAACAGGTGTAGGTACAAAAGCAAGTAATAGATAATGCAAGAGGTACTGATGAAATGAAAGAGATCAAAATGATATTTCATCATCCAACATATAGAAATACAAAGTCAATATCTGAAATGAATAAACTGGAGTTCTTATCAAATCTCAAATACAATAAGTCTGAGTAAAGGAAATAAGGCACACAACCTTTACAACATCTAGAATAAAGTCCTCAAACATCTAAACAAAGTCTACAGTGGAGCTCCAAAATAAAACATATCTAAAAATAGCCAGCTGAACACTAAAGCGTGTCGCCTTCAACCTGCGACTCTCCGGGCTCCTGGCTCGTTACCTGAAAGGGGGAGGGACAACGAGCGTCAAAGCGCTAGCGAGCAACATCACAACCAACCCTAAGGGAAAGGGCTTGTTGTATACAGAAAATACAATTAATACATAATAATATAAATCCATTTGTCCTAACAACAATGGGTTTTGGTATTTAGGAATTTACAACACGAGCGTAGGTACATCGAGCGAAATAATCCAAACAAGGAAACCCTCATGTATATACCTTGTATCTCAAATTGTAAATCCCTAAATACTAAACCTGAGGTCTAATACAAGAAACAATAAATAAAACAAATACAAACCCGTCTCTACCGATAAATGAAATCATGACAAGGCCACCACAAGTGTCATGCAAACTCACATGAGTATCATGTCCGAAAATGATTAAGTGTCCAAAACATAGACTATATAAATTAAACGTCCAACCCATGGACTAAATCTAACCAATGTCCAACGCATGGACTGAATATAACCAATGTCCAACGCATGGACTAAATCTAACCAACGTCCAACGCATGGACTGAATATAACCAATGTCCAACGCATGGACTAAATCTAACCAATGTATGTCCAACGTGAGGACTGAGATGGATTATAGTCCAACACGAGGACTTTAGTGGATTATAGTCCAATACGAGGACTGAAATGATAAGTATCCAACACATGGATCAACAGTAAGATATGCCCAACACATGGACTATAAGTAAAGAGGTGCAATTGTCAAAGGTATATGTGGAAAGATATACATATCCTAAACTCAAACGCGTCTCGATGTACGGGTCTAAACTTGTGTCAAAAGTGTCAACTCACATGTATAGACAAGTCACTATCATTGCAATGTAGTGTCAGATAATCGAGGCGACCCCTCGGACGTATAAAATGCACAACCAACACGAATATATGCACAAACAAAGCTGCGGTCGACCGCAGAGACCACTCCGGTCGACCGCGCATAGGGCAGAGGCATCCTGCTCGACAGAACGCCCTGCGGTCGCCCGCCGCGTCACGCGCGGTCGACCGCGAAACGAACAGGGGCTTTTCCCAGGTTTCTGTTCTGCTTCGAAATCGATCCAAACAATACACCCATGCTTCCAAACAATATATTACACATTCTAATACATATGAATCATCATATAATAACTTCTAGCATGTAAACAAAATCATCACCAAGATCCCTAAACATATATAAACATGGTTTAAATATTATTTATTCAATAAAAACAGAAATTTACTCTTTTAAAACCATTTTCAGATCAGATCTCTTTAACCAAAATCGTGTTACTCTTTTAAAAACCATTTTCAGATCAGATCTCTTTAACCAAAATCGTTGGTGAGCATTTGAAAACTAAAATACTTGATTCTTACATCTCATATCATAAAGATCCATCTATCTACACAAAATAATGATTTAGGCTCAAGAAACTTATTAAAAATCATTAGAAAACCCATAAAAACGTGGGTGAAGGGCTGGGGGCGATGTCACTCGCCTGAGGGGGGTTGATGAACACCCAAAAACGATCCTCCTTCAATCTGAATCGCGAAACCCCACCGAAATCCTTCGAAACGCCCTAAAAACGCCAAAATCCGAGCTAGGGTTTGAGAGGAGAGAGAGAAGGGGGGCTGAGGCTATTAGGGTTTGAAAGAGGGTTCTGAGAGCTTCAAAACGAGTATATATAAGTAGGGTAACAACCGGGTTTGGTATAAACAAAACCTGACCCGAAACTGAACTGGCAGAACCAGGTTCGCTGCGCGGTCGACCGCAGCGACCACGGCGGTCGACTGCGCAGGGTTCTGGGCCATACTCAGACTGGGGTTCGGTAAAAAGGTTGTAACTTTCTCATACGATCTCGGAATGAGGTGATCTAAGATTCGTTAGAAAGCTATTGAAGAGACCTACAACTTTGATGTTATACACGTTTCCATATTCTAACTGAATCAGTATGCAAAATATAGAAACTCTCAACTGGTCAAAATTCTCAGATTCTCACTATTTGCCTATGTGCATGTTTTGTGTATTTACACTCATATATTCACAAATATACATTGAATTGATCTCAAATCAATTCCTATCATACTCAAATATCAAAATACATTATTTTCACTATATAACATATTTATAATTATTTATCACACTATATTCAAATTTTCGGAGTTTTACACGAGCAATCTGCCCCTGGGGGAACGCTCCTGAACTGCTAGAACCATGCCCGCTCAGTTTCTGCCTGCTGGCTGATTCGGACCATTTCCTTCTGATCTCTTGTTGTGTACTGCCTACACTCAATGCTGGTGCCCGGCGCTTTGCCGGCATGTTCAATAGCAAACTCCCGGACTTTACGCTGGCTTGAGAGCTCTTCTGATTTGTTGCGGATCCCTTCTTATGAGGCCCTGCCCTGTTGCTGAGGCCAGACAAGGTCTCTTGTTCTATCCTTGCTCTCCGGGCGGTGCCTTTCTTGTTCTTCTGAAACTTAAGTCGCTCGCCAT